ACTGCATTGTGCACGGTTATTGATCTGCTTGTCGGCTTTTACCCTAAACCCCAAGCACCCTATGAGGTTAACAGACTGTGGTGAGGCAGCACCTTACTGGCTGGGGGCCGCCCACCTTTAAAAAAGTGGGTGGCAGCTACCTAGTGAGGTGTGATGACCTCTCCCACCATCAGAAGTAGCCCCTGGCATCACACTCTATGCCAATCAAGGAAAGACTTGTAACCAGTAACAACCAATATACAACATAGCTTTAAAAAGGATTAAAAATTTTCCAAAGGGGACACACACACTGACTCAAAAACCATGTGACTATTAACCAAATTCAAAAACTCTGATGCTTCATCCAATTTATTTCATTAGAATAACCCCACTTTTAAGCTAGACAAAAAAGGGTGAAAATCTAGAAGAAAATTAGTGGTACAATATTGAGCTGAACGTGGTCAAGTAAATGGATGAGGTTCTACTTTCTCCTTGGAAGAAACAGATGGAAAGAGGAGGAAATTAACTCCATATAAAAGACAAAAAGAGTGGTCAGAAGCAACAGCAAAAGAACAGAAGTAAGCAATATTATTTGCTTTGCCTGTTCTTGCTCATGTGTCTATGTGATTGTCACTTTGTAAATATGTGCATAAGGATTTGCTAGGACAAGCCAATAAACCTGTACATTCTGTGCAAAATTTTAAAAATCCAGCAGAATTGTATATCATCTACCACCAAACACTCAAGCAATTTTTAGAGAAGCAACACTTTCATGTATTCAATTAATTAATTTCACAAGTGTTAAAAAGGCACTCAACTAGAGTTCAGTTTCAAGGATAACCAAAAGCTCCCCTGCCCTTATTTGTACATGGGTGAAGCTGATCAGGAGGCAAAATAAATATTATACATGCAAAGTAATGCAGTTCCTGAATGTGTCCTTGACCACTGCCTTGACCAGCTGTATTGCTTTTTATACTAGAATAATCCAATTTCTTTGTGGCTACAAAAACTAGTTTTGTACTCCAACAAACCAAGGCATTTGCTGTGTCTCACTCTCATAAAATCAGGTGAAAGGAGTCTGCAGTTTGTTTTGCCCTTTTAACAAAACAAAACACAACATTGTTCACATACTGGTAACTTATCACTACATGAGACCTGCATGCATCTTCAGCATTTTTCAGTGGCTGAAATCCTGTTGCTTAGCATGTTAAGTTATAAGTCAATAGAGTAGGCCTATTGAATCAGTGGCACTTATGAAGGAATTGACTCACCAAATCAACAGGTCTGCTGTAGCTGTGATGTAAGCAACAGGATTTCAGCTAGTGTTTAGGACAGTGGTCATAGTGGTGGGGAATATATCTTGCAAGAAAGAGCAAGTAAGGTGGGGCTGTACTGTTTCTTCACCAGATTATCTATAGGTGCCAAATTGATTGAAGTGTGAATAAGGCAGTAAAGGGCAAGCAGAATTATCCAAGGTTTAAACTCTAGGGTAATTCTTCTGTAAGCTGCAGTATTTAGGACTTTTTAGCTTGGAAAAAAGTGAGGCACAAAACATAGTACCAGTGTATCACTTAGAGAATTATAAAATTACGCATGATGTGTAGAAAGTGGAAATTCTGATTATTTCACCTCCGTTTCTTATCATATTAGAAACTGAGGACATCCAAAGAGGATAAATTTTGACAGATTCAGGACAGATAGATGAAAAGGACTACTTCTTTACACAGCACCAAATTAAATTATTAAATATGTTAACACATAATGAATGGCACTGAGTGATGATGATTGAATATTAGGTCCAGAAGCAATAAGCTTCTCAGTGCTAGTTTATGGGAAGCAAGAATGGGAGCTAATTTTTGAGAAGCATGAGCCACTATGTTCATCTTCTCCTTATAGGTTTCACAAACACAACCGGTTGTCCACTGTAGGATCAGAGTGCTAGACCAGACAGTCACGATCCATTAGGTTTTATCTTCCTATCGGTTTAACAGGGCCTGGTGAGAAATCTGCATAGGAAGAACAGACAGATACAGATCACAGATGTAAGTGCATCATTCCTGATCTTATACCTTGTTTCTTCAATAAAACTATCAATTTCCTTCCTTATATGAAACTCCCTTTTGTTTTCTTCACTAAGGGCCAAACACACACATTAGAGGAATGTGTATCTCCTGTTGTTATAACATTTCCTCCCCAACTGATTTGTTATGCATGGTTTCTGAATCAGACATACAAAAGAATCATAGAATCATGAAGTTGGACTGTGCCTGTAAGGCCCCGTCCAAGCCCCTGCTCAAAGAAGCCATGGTTTATGTTCCAGAGACAATCCTGCTGACACATGGGCTTTTCCTTTGAATGTGTTTTCACAAATACGCTTGAGGGAGCCCTTGACCTTCTTTTGGAGTGTGCTATGACTTTACCACTCACACCCAACTCTGAAAATGAATCTGGTGCTACTAAGGGCTTCTTGTCCTGGCTACCTGGGGAAGACCTTCTGAAGTTTTAAAAATAAAGTATAGAAGGATACTTAAAATCTGTTTGGCTGTTCGCTCAAGAAGGAAAAATGAGAGGGAAAAATAGAATGGCAACTGCTAGTGGTTGGAATGTGAAAATATGACTTTTTTGGAAGACAACTTCCAACTTCCAGAATCCCTCATCCAGCATGTCCTGTTGCATTCTTCCCGAATGTTTCTATTGATGTATATAAGGGAGAGATGACTTTAGAAGGAAGGTATCATGCCATACATAACAACATACATATAAATTATTACATTAAAAATAAACTAAATTTAAGACCCTACCTTTTCAGGTGACATAGAATTCTATGTGGCTATGGCTCCCCATTACAGTGGCAGCCTAGCCACATAAATATCCCTACCCGCCCCCAAACACTCTAAATTACTGTTTGTTCTTCCTCTCCACTAAGGCCATCAAATCCATGTACTGTACACAACGCTGACACTTCCATCTGCTGACTGAAAATTAACAATGTTTTTCAGTTATCTTAAAAACAACATCAATAGTTCAGACATCCACAAACATTTTTGCAGCTTCTCCATTTTTACAATCCATTAACATTTTATCTCCCAAAAAGGGATTTTTAGTCTTGTTGCTTCCTTAGCAGCCATTTTTGTTTGCATGAACGGTAACTTAGTAGTAGCTTAAATGGATGCAGAAAAGATTACTCAATTCATTAAATCTTTTCAAATAAATATTTCACACCTTCAAGGGAAAACTGGGTGCAATGGGAGACTCATTTATATAGTTCAGCACATCTGTAGATTTTAACTGATTTCTTGTTTAGCCCATAGAAGCGGAAATAAGGTAACAGCTTATTATGTTTCTTATTAACTCATCTGGAAATTTCACTTAAGCTGCAATCCTATATTCATTTATGTGCACATTAACTCCCACTAAACTCAAGGCATACTTCTGAAGAACTATGTAAAAGATTGCCCTGCAAATATTATTCAGACAACTAAATGACAACACAATAGCTTCCATCTATCACATTTTAAGGAGTGCATTTATTAACTTACAAAACAAACAGTTAGCCTTCAACCAATAGTTTATTATCAGCTATAGACAGAGCCCAATTACTCTGACTTCACAGACAAGCAAATGTCAAAGCAAATTCTATTTAAATATAACCTTCATTTAAAAATACTGGTCCTCAAATGGCTCTGTGTACAAGATTTCCAGAAAGCATTCTATAGCATGAACAATCCCGATAGGATGTGTAATATAGCTACGCATCACTATAATGAGGTAAAACAGAAAACGCCTTTCCAAAATATTTATGGACTTGGATCTTTAGTTCCTGTGAGAGGAACTCTGCTGATGGGATTCTCCTGCTCATGAAAGTGGAGAAGCTTTCCCCCACTGTTCCAGCTATGGCCCTCACACATCTAATCTGAAAATATGGAAGCCCTTCAGCAGAGTGTGAATTTGTGTGTGGCAGGGGCTTAGATGCAGGTTGTGAGGATAACAGAGAATCAGTGAACACTTATACAGATGGGACTTAAGTATTTCTACTTCCCCCCCCCCAGGTTGGCAAGAATTCCCCAGGCCAATTCATGATAGCAAAAGGCCTTAAAATAGCAGGAGACACAGCACCCCTGTCATCCCTCTGCATTTCACCTCTGCCTACTTTACGTGGAGACAGCCTCTCTTGGAACTCATCCTCCCATGACCTTTTGTGAGTTGCAGGAAATTTCCCCTTACTCATGCACTGGAATAAGGCACTTTTGTTTCCACATGAGAGAAACGGTGGGTGCAGGAACAACAGGGAGGTGAGAGGGCTGCTTTTCCTCCTGCCAGTCTAAGGACTTCCATTGCATAATTTGGCTTGCCGACTTATGGGAGTAGAGGTTCTTGAAATATAAAAGTTTCATCCGTAAATGTACTTGCCTCTTCCACTGGTGGGATCCTCTGGCGGGCTCAAAGTCCTTTTGCAGTGAAAGGAGCCTTTCTTTTTGTTTCAGGTACACGGAGAATCTTATATTCTGAAAGGCACCAACCCGGAACCTTCTGAAGCCAGGAAGTGAAGAAACCAGGTGGTGGAGGGAGGAATTATAACTCTACCATATTTATGTTCTGTTGTGGGACAACCTAACACCATGGGGTAATATTCCCAAGGACTAGTAAGAATGTGAACGTTGGATAACAAAAAAAGAGAAGCTGACACGAAAAAAAAATTCTTTCAAAATGTATTGTTGGAGCAGAGATTTAAAAATACTGTGGACTGCCAGAAAGATAAACAGTTGGTTTCTGAAATCTTAGGAGTTAACATAATTGTACTTTGGGTGTATGAGGAGAAACACCTCACAAAAAAAGCAATAATATTAGGAACAGTGGAAGGTTCTGCTTTTTCATCCATCCAGCATCCCCCTCTTGGACCTACTCTTTCAACCATCATATGAAACAAAACACCACTCGAAAACCCCCTGCAGAGCCAAACCATCATTAGGTGGTTTTAACCAGTAAGCTCCCAAGATGGAGCATCATATAAAATGCAATACCTGCTTTCTTGCGTAACGATGTGGTAAGCCACCTATAAATATGGGTCCTGTTGCCTGCCAAATTAAAGATGACCAATGGTTGCTGGGTGTACTTTTCTCTGTAGTTATTCCAAGGAGAGTCACTTCAGCTTCACACCTCACCAGGTCTTGCCTGCATACATTTGGAAGAAAGACAAAGTTTATTAATATGCCGCATATTGTGTAAATGCTTCTCTGACTAACTAATTAGAGTGTTGCCAAATCAAGGGAGGAGGCAAATGAAGTAAGCAGCTCATCTTTTATTGAACCTTATAAACTCACTGATGGCAATTTGAGGAGGATACTAGATATTGATACATCTTTGGAGGAGTACTTGCCATAAAAAATGGAATTTTTAATGTGAATGTTATGGATGTAATCACAATTTAAAGATGAGGTGGTGAAATCAATTATGGTTAAACCAATAAATAAATCAAATGTTCATTTTCTTACTTCTTGGTAAATGCTTTTAAATACAATGCTGATGCATCATTAGCCAAGTAACATTTTCATACTGAAATGAAAGGGTAAAAAAAAGACTGCTTCTGTGGGCAGCTCATGTCTTGAATGCCACCTGCAATTCTGAGGTAAATTCACCACACACACACACACCCGGTCCAACCTGTGAGCTGCAACATATTCCTAGTTTAAAACATAGGACAAATGGAACAATTTCAATGCACATGAATCAATGGTAATAAGTCATATACTATTAGGAATGGCATCACAGAGAAAACCATTTCACATCATTTTAATTTACCAAGACATTCCACAATCTAAAAGTGGGGCCATCCTAGAAAAAAGAAACTACAGGACAAGAATCCAGAGAGAAACAGCTGAGATAAAATACTGTATATACACATGCTAGAGACACATATCAATGGACTTAATTTAAAACAAGGTTTTTGGGCGCACTACCAGATATAAACATTACAAATATACTGTACTGCATCTCCTAGATATTTTCCCCCTTAACAGATCCACCTTAGAAATTTCTAAAGGTAAAACAGATTCTTTACTCTGCTCTTGTGGCCATCCATTTTCTGAGGTTAATTTACACACTATTGCAACAGATTACAAAGAAAAGCTTGTAGGGCAAAAGTTCATCAGTGACTGTAAATAGCCCATCTAATTAACATTTACTTTACTGTACTGTTTTAATTTTACCATTGTTATGCTACCATTGTTAATTTATGACAGAGGTTTTCTCATTCTTTACAAGACAAGCTTCTATGGAAGACCTGCATATCAAAGACATTACACCCACTGGCTTTCTTACGTACCAATCACGATCCCTATTTTGATATCTATGCTTTGATGCCATGTAGAAATATTTGCCACATTATAGCTCCTTCTTTTATGTCTGATGAAGTGTACATGTCCACGAAAGCACACATTAGAAATTATAAAAGTTAGTCTTTAAGATGCCACCGGATTATTTTCATTTTCATTTTATTTTGTTTGCACCTATAATAGTTTAAAACAGAAAATCTGCTGGTACTACCAGTACTTACCCCCTTCCAGGATATCATTTTGGTGTTCAAATTGCCTCACATCATAGCTTGGAAAAGTTACACTTTTAGACTAGAACTGCCAGAATGGTTAAGGGATGCTAGAATCGCAGTTTAAAGAGATAACTTTTCCAGCCTCTGTTTCACCAACATTAGAAATCTTTACAGCAGCCCTGTAAGGCACCAACACCATCATCTTAGAACTGCACAGCTGGAAGGGACCCTATGGATCATCGAGTCTTGAAGTAGCAAGATAATCTCCACGAATGTCTACAAAGAACAGCCAGTCCACAGATTAGATGTAATATCTCCCCCCTTCTGTATAGTAGTACATTGATGTCTCGCAAGACGAATGCCTCACACAACAAAAAACTCATGAGACGAAAGAATTTTGTGATTTTTTCGTGACTCGCAAGATGAATTTTTCCATGGCCATGATTCACAAGATGAATTTCCCCCCTTTTTTGGGTTTGTTTTAAATCGCACAACCATTTGTACCGTGCTTTGCAAGACAAAAATTTCACAATACGACACGACTCATGGAATGAATTAATTTTGTCTTGTGAGGCATCACTGTATCTCATAAGTTCATAACAGGTGAGATTTGTTTCCAGCTCATGCTTTTAGAGTGCATTCATAACTATACCTTTCCTAGGAACTGAATCTCATTCACCTAAGCAAACCTGCTTATGAATAAATTGGTTTAAGATTGGTCTGTTTGTTATCCTATTACTCTAACCCTGCAATTCTATATGCCTTTCGCCAGGACATCTGCACAGGACATCTTTACAGATATTCTGAACTGCCAGAAAGACAAACAAGTAGGTCGTAAATCAAATCAAGTCTGAATGATCTCTGGAGGCAAAAATGTTGAAGCTGAGACTGTTCTACTTCGGACACATCATGAGAAGGCAAGATTCTCTGGAAAAGACAATAATGCTGGAAAAGGTGGAAGGCAGCAGGAAAAGAGGAAGACCAAATAAGAAATGGATTGACTCCCTAAATTCCACAGAAGTTGAGCAGGACTGTTGAGGACAAGACATTTTGGAGATTGCTCTTTCATGGGGTCACCATAAGTTGAAAGCTTCCAGATTTCAATGGGACCTTCTTCCAAGTGTGTACATCATAGCTTAACTCTCACTCTTTGGAATAATACAGTACAGTGGTGCCCCGCATGACTACGATAATCCATCCCGTGAAAATCGCTGTTTAGCGAAATTGTCATCATGCGAAAACCCTTTCCCCATTGGAATGCATTGAAACCTGATTTAATGTGTTCCAATGGGGAAAATACCTCCTCGTCCAGTGAAGATCACCCATAGGGAAGCCATTTTTCGAGTGCCGATCAGCCGTAAAAATGGCTGCCCTGTGAAGCATGGGTCTGGAAAACACAGGGCAGCCATTTTGCGAAGCTGAAAAAATCATTGTATTGTGAACAAACGATTTGCGAACCATGGACCTAATCAAAGTCCAGCGAAAATCTCTCATTGGAATGACTCTTTTGCGAATCGCTATAGCGATTGCAAAAAGTCATCATTATGCAGATTCGTTATTTAGCAGGGTCGTCGTTAGCAAGGTACCACTGTATCTATAACTATTAGTACTACTACCACTAGCACAAATCATCATCATCATCTGTCATTCTGCAAACTGTTTTACTTAACCTAAGAGTTAAGGCCAAATATTTTATTGTAAAGTATATCTGTTTGTAAAGAAAATAGCTTTGATCCTTCAGCTACAGTGAAGGGCCAAACATGCAAACATAGTTCACAGAAAACATTTGGCACAAGGCAAATGGTGTGGTTTTATTTTTCCCCTTAACAATGCCACTTTCATTAATATGCCTTCAGCCAACTCACAGGAAATGTTCTCCCTTAATCAAAGGAAGCACAGTGAGTACCTATGAAAATCAGCAACAGCCTCTCTGTTTGCTGTTTCATTATGTTCATCCTTTTTTCTCCAGCGCAGCAAGAAACAGAAGGCTGCTTACGAGCAAGGTCAAACCACTACAACTTGATCAGTTGGGTGATTAAAAAGATTCAAGACTCTTATGCTCTGGTGGCGACAGGACTGATAGACTGATATCGTATTATTCCAAAGAGTGAGAGTGATAAGCAACATTAAAATAAAATTATCTTCTTGAGTGGAAACAGGTTCTTGCTCTCATGGAAGTGAGGATGCTGCAAGCATATAATGTGTGAATTTAGTCGTCTGTGGACAGTGTATTATCCACTGTCATTCTGTAACTGATTATATGTGCCAACCCGTGGAAGACTTTTTCACTCCATCTTCATGCATCCACTCTTAATCCACACTCCACATAAATACTGAAGCACATCTGACTGAATTATTCCCACACAGCTTTAAACTTCTCGGTTATCTCAATGAAAGCCCGCCGAAATTAGGCCCTTCTACTGATATGCTTACTGGATTCCCCTTGAGGAATTTGACAGAAGATTCCTCAAACTCTCACCACCTCCATCTAAAGTTCTTCTACTCCTTTTGCCTTATTCTCCCTGACTGCCCCACATCCAAGTGAAACAAACAGCCATCAGAAGCTTTTGTTTCCAGAAATGAATTTTTCACTTAAAAAAAAAGTATGTGAGAGGTATACCTGGTTCTTGAAATTGTGTGTCCTCGAAGTATGATTCTCTTAGGTGGTTGGTTGTTTTGTTTGTCAAAAAATCTTGTTTTCTGAGGTGAAAAAAACAACAGGCAGTCTGAAGCCCACAAAATCACCCCCCCTTGCTCTGTAGTTTAGTTTATGAATAAATCCAGCCCTAATAATAGTGTAGTCCATCATGATGCTCTAACACGGGGCACTAAAGCAACTGGAGATTGCTTCCTTTTTCCTATTTCCTTTCCTTTTCTCTGTTGTTTTCCCTGGTGCTGATTTTTGAACTGCAAGCCCCATGGGATAAGAGGCTGTTGTTATGTGTTCTGTAAAGAGCTGTACATGCTGATGGCACAATTTTAATAAATAATCTGTATTCTCTGTGGCATGTGTTTCGTCCTTCAAAACCCAACAGGGACACTGTCAAAATGGCCACAATGACTGTAGCTATGAACTGTACAATTGTTAACACAAAATTATGATTTTCTCCCTCCCAAACATTTTTCCCCCAAACAGTATTCTTCTTCTTTTTAATATCAACATATTGTTAAGTATCCTGGCTAATAATAATGGAAAGACTGGTTAATTTTTTTTTCCAGTGGGAGCTAATGGCACATTAGCCCCATGGCACAATGAATGGTTAAACTGCAGTACCGCAGTAAAGGCTCTGCTTATGACCTAATTTGATTCTGATGGGCTCAGGTATCTGGCTGGAGGTTGACTCAGTCTTCCATCTTTCTGCAGTCATTAAATGACTACCCAGCTTGCTAGGGGGCAAAGCGTTGTTTGCATAACTATGGTATGAACTACCCAGAGACTGCCCAAGCACTATGAGGTGAAATATATGTCAAAGTAATGACAAGAACAACAACATGGTCATTTCCTAATATTAGAATATCTCTGAGAGATTTGAAGGAAATGGCCCAGAGAATGTGACATTGCAACTCTGTGTGGGGTTTTGAGTGTGTGTGTATGAGAAAGAGACAGATAGACACACACACACACACA